TCCTTGAGGGCAGGGACTGTCTTTTGTCTCTTTTGTATCCCCAGCACTTAGCACAGTGCCTGGCACATAGTAGGAGCTTATTAAATGTTTCTTGATTGATATGCGTTATATGATACCTATATAGCACTTTACACACAATCGTATTTGATCCTCCCAACATACCAGTCAATCAATCCATATCTTGGATTGGTCAATCAATCCAAGCATCTTAGGATGGGGCTGGTGAAAGGACAGAAAGGGGCAGATAATAAAGTGTTAACATATTAAACTAAGGGCTGCTACACTGTTATCCCTTTACAAAGTCTGAAAAGGTATCTCTGATTGAATTGGAAGTTGGCAATAGCTGGCTGAAGATTGTCTGTGTGCCTGGTGGGGTTGAAAAAGCTAAGCCTGCCAGCCCTGGAAGTAGCCAAGGTGTGTTCAAGGCAAGGAGCAGATTTGGGAAGTGGGATCCCTGAGCCTTTACCAGATGGCATTTGGGGGTTGAAGGGAGGGAATTTTTTCACCGTTGACCATGGTACCTTGCAGCAGAGCTGCTCAGCCAGTGGGATGTGCCCAGTGCACCCAGCAGGAAGTACAGACAGACAGAATCGGGAGAAGGAAGCACCTTCAATGAGTGTGACTTCTGGCTGACTATGGCAGGGTTCAAGTCAAGACTAACCCTGGCAGTAGAAATCTGGGCTAAGGCAAGAAGCTGGTCCAGGGAGTCCAGCTGAACTGATCCATCCAACAAAGATGCTGTGTCCAGGATAGAACAGCAAGTGTGCACCACAAGAAGGGGAGGGATGCTGGGGCCTGGCGCTATGGGAGATATGAACTACCTTGGCTATGTGTCCCCTATGAGCATCTCACTACCACAGTGAGCAAATGCCCACTCTTTCTAGAGATATATTTGGGGAGAGAGCTCCCAGGTTTATGGGGAGCAGTGTTTTACAGCTACTGCTCTTTTTAAGCTCTATTAGATTTTACTTTAAGCTGTATGAAAGGTAAACAAACTGGTGGGGGTGTCCTGAGCTATAATTTTACGGGTACAGACCCAAAGAGTCTGACACTGTAGTCAACCCCTTAGGAACCCAATTTATAAAACTGTAAATGCCAAATTGGGAAGTTAATTCCCAGAGGGGTGTATCTGGTTTCATGTTTTCCCTCCCCATGATGTGGGAGAATGTGGCCCTTGTCCACTGATATGTGGGTTTCGAATGGTGGAGAAAGAGGAGGGAATATTTCTTGTCATTTATCATGCCATTCGATTACATTAAATGCCTTTTGTTTTAAACTGATAGGCCCTCTGGTTGGCCTCGTAAAAAATAAACACACTGAGGGTTTGGTTTTATGTTGAGCCAAGAAGAGCCTCAAACCTTGGGCCTTTCTGGGGGCCCATATGTAGGGGTCAGGGGAGCCTAGGTGCTTCATGGATATGACTTAAGAGCTCACTAAGCAGGTTCCTCACAACAGCTCTGCATGGCAGATGGTAAAACTTATTAGCTACATATTACAGATCAATTCATTTATTTAACAGACTTTTGTTAAGGTCAAATCACCACATAAACTACTTCACATCATCATACTGAATGAAATGTTGGATATGGTTGCTAAGCTACTGTCAGTGATCTCAGAAAGTTCACAGAGGATGGGACAGGTGCCTCAAAACTGAAGAGCAAATATTTTATTAATTCTTCATTTTAAAAAAGTGGGGTGGGGGGCAGGGAATGACATCTGCAAACCACAGGCCAGTAAGCTTCACTTAGATTCCTAGAAAAGATTTTGAGTATGTGAGGAAAGGGATAGTTAATGAATATGTGGGGGAAAAAAGGCAGAGATTACAAAGAGCTAACAATTTCACCAACAACAGGCATGGTTTCAATTAATTTCAATTCAACAGGCATTTATTAAGGGCTTACTATGGTCCTATAGTGCTGTGCTGGGTCCTAGAAATAGAAAGAAAAATTGAAAAGTAATTTTTGGGGTGGAAGAACACTAAAAATCAATCAGGGCCTCCTCTAGGAGGTGGCATAGGAGGGGAACTCTGAAGGAAGCTAGGGATTCTGATTGGGCAATGAGGTGGCAAAGTGGACAGAGCACCAGGGCTTGGAATCGGGAAGACTCATCTTTCTGAGACACTTACAAGATGTGTGACCCTGGGCAAGTCGTTTGCCTCAGTTTCCTCACATGTAAAATGAGCTGGAGAAGGAAATGGCTAATTACTCCAGTCTCTTTGCCAAGAAAACCCCAAGAGTCGGACACAACAGCAACCATCAATTGAACAAGAACAACAAGGGATTCTAAGGGGAAGATGTAAGAAGAGAGAAAATTCCAGACTTGGAGGGTGGCTCATGCAGCGGCGTGGAGGGGTGAGGAGGTGTCATGGATGGGGCACATCAGGAAGGCCGGTTGGGTTGGAGTATATAGTACGGGAGTGGAAGTAACTGAAAATCATTCCCAAAAAATAGATTGGAGTCATATTATAAAGAATGTCAGAGAAGTTTATACTTTGTCTTGAGTCAGCCTCCTGAGCAAGAGAGTGACAGGGTCAAACCTGTGCTAACTTCATGTGCTTTTTTTGAGAGGGTTCCAAGATTGTTAGATGATGGGAATTCTGCAGAAGATGTTTACCTAGCTTTTAGTAAGGCACCTGACAAAGTCCCTCATATTATTCTTGTGAACAAAATACAGGGATGGGGCTTAGATATTTGTACAATTAGGTGGGTTTAAAATTGGTTAATTTGCCAGACCCAGAGTAGTCATCAATGATCAACTTGAAAGGTCTTTGGTGGAGTTCCTCAGGAATCTATGCTCCTTAACATTTTTCTTGATGACATATCAATAGCATACAAACATACACGCACACACACACACACATACACCCCAAGCTACACAGGATAAATAGGAAATAATTAACAGCAGGAAGGCACTGGAATTGAGGAAAGCTTCCCGTAGAAGGTGGGATTTCAGTTGGAACTTCAAAGGAAGCCAGGGAGGTCAGTAGTTGGAGTAGAAGAGGGAAAGTGATCCAGGTTACGAGAGACCACTTAGAGCAGAGAGACAGATGGTCTTGTTCATGAATAGCCAGGAGGCCAGTGTCATGGTATTGAAGAGTAGGTGTTGGGAGTAACATATAAGAAGACTGGAAAGGCAGGAGGAGACTAGGTTATAAAGGGCTTTGAATGGCAAACAGAGCATTTTGTATTTGGCCCTGGAGGCAATATGGAGCGACTAGAGTTTATGGGGTGACACGGTAACATTTGTGTTTTATAGTGCTGAATGGAGACTAGATTACAGTGGGGAGAGACTTGAGGCAGGCAGACCCACAAGCCGCGTATTGCACTAATTGAGGCATGAGGTGATAAGGGCCTGCACCAAGGTGGTGGCAGTGCCTGGAGAGAGAAGGGGACATATTCAAGAAATGTTGCAAAGATGAAATCAGCAGGCCTTGGCAATAGCTTGGAAATGTGGGGTGAGAGATAGTGAGGAGTCCAGGATGACTCTTAGGTTTTTAACCTGAGGGGCTGGGAGGACAGTGTTGCCTGTTATCGTAATAGGGAAGGTGGGGGTCAGGGGAGGGGTTTAGGAAGAAAGATAATGAGTTCTGTTTTGGACGTTCTTAGTTTCAGATGTCTACTGGACATCGATGGAGATATCTGAAAGTCAGTTAGAGATGTGAGATTGGAGGTCAGCAGAGAGATTGGGAGAGTTAAGGTAGATGTGAGAATCATCAGTGTGAAGGTGGTAATTAAATCCATGGGAGCTGATGAGATCAAGTAAAGGGGTACAGAAGAAGAGAAGAGGGCCCAGGACAGAACCCTGAGTCACACCTAAAGTCAGAGGGCATGATCTGGAAGAGGATCTAGCAAAGGAAACTAAGGAGGAATGGTCAGATAGGTAGGAGAAAGAGCAGAAGAGAGCGGTGTCCCAAAAACCTAGAGAGAAGAGAATATCAGGGAGGAGAGAGTGATCAATAGTGTCAGAGGCTGCAGAGAGGTCAAGGAGAATGAGGATGGAAAAGGCCAGAATAAAGAGATCACTGGTAACTTTGGAGAGAGCAGTTTCAGTGGTATGATAAAGTCAGCAGCCAGATTGTAAGGGGTCAAGAAGAGAGTGAGAGGAGAGAAAGTGGAGGTGCCTACTGAGGTTTAGCTACAAAGGGCAGAAGAGTAGTACGACGATACTTAGTAGGGATGGCAGAATCAAGTGAGAACGGAGAAGCGATATGGGCATGTTTATAGGCAGCAGAGAATGAACCAACAGACGTCCAAGTGAATTGGGCGTAAGTGACGGAGGGTTGTGCAAAGTCAACAGCCCCACTTTCTCCTTCAGGGCCATCTGGGTCCAGTGGCAAGTTCTACGCCAGGACGCTAGGCCACAGACTCTTGCAAGGATGCTACAGCTCCTCCTTTTCCCTGCCTGGGCTCTGTCTCTACCCCTCCTCCCTCCCCTGCCCCCTAGTTACCTCCCTCTCTTCTAGAGCTCCACCCCTCCCCTCTCCCTCCCAGGCCCCGCCCCCTCGTGCCCATCTTCACGCCTCCCATCAAACCCCGCCCCTTTCCTTGGAGGAGGTGCGGCACTCGCGCAACGCCTTTCAACTTCCCTGGGAGCCAGGGCAGAAATCTCTCGCGAGACTTGAAGGTTTGTTTGTTTGTATTTTTTTGTCCACCCCCCCACCCCCCAGGGATGGGTGGCAACTGTGGGGAGTGGGCAGGCAGAAAAGAAGGCAGTGAAAAGGGCGTAGGCGCAGCCCAGACGCTTAAAGCTCGCAGGAGCAGAGCGAAACCTTCCACCGTGGGCCCCGCCCCTCTCGACCGCCCTCCCGCGTGACCCAGGCTTTTACATAACCGCGGTTTCGTTGCGTCACCTATGGCGTCTGTCCGGTCGGTCCAATCGAAACTTCCCAAGCCTCCAGACTCCGCCTCTCCTGTTGGGATGGACGTCGGGTCCGGCCAATGAGTGGGCGGGAAACGCCATCACGCCCGCCCCGCCCCTCCCCTCCCCGCTGGTGCCGCCACCGCCTCGGGTGGCTACAGGTTAGGGCTGAATCTGTCAGGGTGAGAAGCTAAGCTCGAGGCGGGGCGAGCTCGGAGCGCGGCTAGGGCCTGAGGCCCGGAGCGGGACATGGCGGCGCTCTACGCCTGCACCAAATGCCACCAGCGCTTCCCCTTCGAGGCGCTGTCCCAGGGGCAGCAGCTGTGCAAGGTGAGCGGCGGCGGGCGGCGGGACGTCCGGACCGGGGCGGGGCTGGGCGGCCGCGAGGGGGCGGTGGCCGTTGGCTGCCCGCGCAGCGGGTGTTGACGGGGGCCGGTGGTTCCTCCAGCTCGCGCCCGGCGCCGGGGCAGTGGGGAGAGGGGGCGGAAACAAAAGGTGCGGACACCCCGGCCCGGCTTCCGCCCTGCCGCGCCCCCGTGGGGCTTCCCCGAGGCCCCCGAGGGCCAGCCCGCCCGCGGCTTCCTCCGGTGCTTAGCAACGGCCCGGGGCTGGTTCCACGGCCCGGCCTGGGGGGCAGGGCACCAGCCCATCTCGATCTCTTCGCGGGCGGCCCGCTGCTGGCGTCCGAGGATCGTCTGCGTGAATAGAGCTGGAAGGGATGGAGGTCAGCTCCCTCGTTGTGCCTCTGGGGAAACTGAGGCCCAGAGAGGTGGAGGGACTTGTCCGGGCTTCCCCCGCTGGCAAGTGACAGGACGCGAGCCCAGGTCTTCCTGATTGCAAGTTCAGCGCGCTCGTCTCTGGCCCCGCCGCCTCCTAAGGGAGGGGCAGGAATCACCCCTTTTCCGAGGGGAAGGGGTTGGTGGTCTTCTGGGAGGAGCTGATGATGCCTAAGGACTTGTGAGTCAGTGAGGGACTGAAGTGGAGTCAGGAAGATCCTTCCCAGCAGTGTGACCCCGAGCCTCTGTTCTCTTCTTTATAATTCAGGAATAAAAATAGCTTCTGCCTCACGTCAACAGGTGAATAAAGTGCTTTGTAAACGTTAAAGCACTTCTGTAGATATTAGCTGTTGATCGTTATTTGTACTGTTGTTAATAGGAATTCAAAGAAGCGTCGCTACGCCACTCATCCTAGAGGCAACATTGAATAGGTTTTTGGCCGAAAAGCAAGACAAGTGGAAGAAGTCAAAAGATTTTCAGCCTCAAAATGAGCATTCTGTCTCATTTCACTGCTGCTTTCTGGTATAAGTGGTGTAGTGGGAAAAGCATTGGATTTGGGAGCAGAGGAATTAGATTTGAATCTGACCTTTACAACTTAAATACTTTGGTGAGTCTGGCAAATTATCAACCCCTTAGGGCCTCACTTTCCTTAGTTGTGGGGTCTGGCCTGGCCTAAATAATCTTTAAGGTCCCTTCCAGCTCTAAATCCTGTAGTGCTTGGGCAATTGCTTCATCTCTCTTGGTCTTAATTTCCACATCTCTAAGATGAGGAGATCACAAAAGATTGTTTATCTAAGGTTCCTTGCCCTTCTAACTTGCTGATCCTCTGACTTGGACCAGTTGCTGGTAATTTTTTTAGACTTGCATTACTTTTATGTCAAGATTTCCCATCAGGCAGCATTGTCCCCAGTTTTCAGGTGAATTGAGCATAGAGAAGTGACATCATATTAATAAGTCACCTAGCCAAGCAGGTATCTGGGTGACTATTTCTGGAGTATGACACATTAAATATTCTAAAGTAAGCAATAATCTATCTTTCTTATTTGGCAGTGAGTTTTTTATGTATTACTGCTGAGAGTGAGGCATCTTCCTTCTGCCAGTGTTTATTAGCTATCTGGAGAACTTTGGTAATTGAGTGTCTCTTGTGGTCTCATCTATTTGGGTTCCAAGAAATAGGTATATGTATGCATTTTGGATTATTATCCTTAGAGATTACCTAGTCCAGCCTTCTCACTTTACAGATGATCTGACCATGTCACCCCCAACCCCAAGATCCTCCAGAATCAATTATAAAATCCTCTGGCATTTAAAACCCTTCATAACCTGGTTCCTTCCTACCTTTATAGTCTTTTTACACTCCTCCCTTCCACATACTCTTCTATCCAGTTACACTGGCTTACTTGCTGTTCCTTAGACACAACACTCAATTTTCCTCATTCTAGACCCCCCTGGGAATGTCCCTCGTTCCCTTCTCCATTCCTTCAAGGCTGAGCTCAAACTCCACTTTCTCCGGGATGCCTTTCCTGGTTCCCCTTCTGAGATCACTTTCCATTTACCCTGTATATATCTAATATGTGCATAGTCATTTACATGATTTCTCCCCTCTGGACTGCGAGCTCCTTGAGAACAGGAACCTTGTTTTTGCCTTTCCTTACTATGTACCTGGCACATAGTAGATGCTTAACAAATGCTTGTTTACTGAGAAACTGGTGCCCAGAGAGGTGAGGAACTAGCCTAAGTATATGTGTAGCAAGTAGCAGAGCCATTATTTAAACCTCGGTTCCCTGGTTCCAAATCCTGTGCTCTTTCTTCTCTATCTGGTATGGTCTCTCAGGAATGGACAGAGATCTCAGAACTCATCCTCCCCATTTTGCATTACCTTAGACTGAGGTAGAAGTAAATGACTTGCCAAAGTTACACAAATAATTTCTAGGGTTCTTTCCAGCATGCAGTGTGGTCTCCATTTGTGGTTTTTGTTAATAAGTTTTTAACACCCAATTTTAACAATTGTATTTTGTTACAGGAGTGTCGTATTGCCCATCCTATGGTTAAATGCACCTACTGTCGGACTGAATTCCAGCAGGAAAGGTAAAGTTTCCATTGATAGTGGTTTTTCTCTTGTCTTTTTTAGAAACATCTTTCCTCCTAGAAGAAACCATTGTACTCTTAAAATGCTTAACTTCTTACTCATGCTGCTTATTTTTTAGCCCCTGGCCATTTCATTATTGTGACTTACCTTTTTAAAAATACTGTTCTCTTGAGCCTTCTATCTCTGCATTACAAAGAGGAAATGAGGTACTTTGGGAAACATGGCAGTCTTGTTCTAAGTTCCAGTTACTATCTCTGACCACGTGTGAAACTTATATTCCTGCTTCACTTATATCACCTCATTAAGAAGTGAATATTACCTGACAGCTTACTAGAATCAACAAAGAGCTTGTCAGTGTGAGCAACCCTCTGGGCCTTCCCTTGCAGATCAGCCTTCTCAGCAAGGCCAGTTGACTAATTCATGTAGAACCTCAGCATTCAGCCTTCAGGTCAGGGTTCTTGTCACACTTAGCAAACGTTCCTTTTTTCTTTCTTGTTTTCTAAGTGTTAGCATGTGCAAGCTTATAATTTTGAATATAATGGGAATAAAGAGTTTTGGTGATAGGCTTATGTGTAATTGAAAAGCTGTTTGAATGAAGAGATTCATATCTGCCAGCAAGAGCTATCTCTTATACTGGGGTACCTCAAGAGTTGGGCCTCAAGCACTTACTAAATGTGTGACCTTGCCTCTCTTCAGTTCTCTGAGCTTGTTTGCTTATCTGTAAAATGAGGATGATCAAATATTTCCACTACCTGCCTGGTACAGATATTGTTAGCAAAACTCCTTATAAACCTCAAAGCAACATAAAAATGAGGAGCTATTGGCAATACCTCCTCAGAGGTCCTCATTTGAATTCTAACAAGTTAACTTATACTTCAGAAATAGAAGATAATTGCTCTGGAAAATATTTTAGACAAGTAATTTTTTCAATCTTGTTTAGATTTCCTTTCTTTTCTTTCTTTCAAAAGATCAGTTTAAAGCTCTGTGGTATTTCTCTTTTACAGTTAGCCTGGGAAGATATTTAGTCATAACATTTTAGAATATATTGGGGTGTTAATATTTTTATATTCTCTTAGAGCCATGGGATTGTTCTAAATATTGTTTCCAGTTGCATGCGACATTAGGCCGAAACTTCCCTGAAGTCAATGGGCCTAGGAGGGGAATCTGATCATTTTTGCAAACCTGGATCATTAGCTCATAGGCACATTTGGTTTGTATTATGGCCCTTAGAATTTCAAAAAGGGTATGAGGGAACACTTACTTTTTTCATGAGCTTAGACTTTATGGAAAATGAACTATTGCACAAGCTGTAGACAAATATTAAAATCACAGCTTCAACAATTTTCTTCCACATTTGTGATTTTCTTATGCCTTTGCTTATAAAAGAAAATATGAAATAGCAGTTGAGTAAAGCCTTCTAAATTTGTCCTGCATACTTCTCCTAATGTATCTTAATTTCAAACCTCAAAATTCTTTGTTGTTTATTGAGGATTTTTTTTTCCTACTAATAATTCACTTGTAGACCTTCCAGTTCTGATTTCATATTTTTTGCTGACCCAGTCTATAACAGAAGTTACCAGTTATACTGTTTGGTGGTATTGGAAATACTAGCAACTACTAAATAATTTAGTCTCCATATCTGCCAGATTCTTGATTGACATCCTCCTCCCCCCAAAAATAAAATTGCCCCCAGTTGCCAGAAATGAAAGTATAGCCTCTACCTGAAGTAATTTTATTAAATGATTTATTTTCACAGCTCTGTATTCTGTAGGTAGCGGAGTATTAGCAGAGTTACTGACCACACAGTAATATTTCAGTTGACATGAATATTATCACTAAAATGCTCTTTGAAAGGCAATTTGCCATTCTTTAGGGATCGATTATTTCTCTAGGTAAAACAATTTTTCTTTATGAAGACCTTTATGTGTTTTTCCCTTAACAGTAAGACCAATACGATATGCAAGAAATGTGCTCAGAATGTAAAGTTGTATGGAACAGTAAGTAGACTTCCCTCAAGAGTTACTTTTTTTAAAATGCTTTAGTGGTAACTTTTGTTTTTACATTGCCTTCATTTCCAAATAGATCCTTTCCCTAGGAGGGCCATAGCTGTAATGAGGGGGAGGAGGTCAGTCCCACCAGGCTGGCCTACTTGTCACCCTCGTTGACCGGGGGCTGCAGTGTTCCCCTGCCCATGTCGGTGACCTCTGCCGAGGAAGGGGGAGGCATTTCCTCAGCTCTTCTGCAGGGCCGTGTGTGCTTGTACGATTACAAGTACAGCGTTTGCTTGGTTTCTGTTGTTGTCGTCATTGTTCCTTCCAATTTTATCATTAGTCATTGTGTATAGTATCTATTCTTCCTGGCTTTGCTTGTCCTCATTTGGCCTGAGTTCTTAGAAGTCTTTCCATGCTTCTCTGTATTCATCTGTGAGGTCCTTTAAAACTCGCCTGCCACGAACCTTAAGCCTGGCTTTAGCAGCTCTTTGAAGAGCAGGAACCAGCTGAATCAACTGCCTTGTAGAGTAAATGGTTAAACTTATTTAACCTCATGAATGATCATTTTAGTTCAGTTTTCAACTAAACACACAGAATTTTTGGGCACCACAAAGCAAAAGATGTTATGTTTTGTTTTTTTTTTTCAGAAATTTGAAAGAATTTGTTGCTTTCTACAGAGGACTGGTTCTGTTGATTTCTTTTTAGCACTTTGAAGTACATTGCGCAGAAAAGTGGACGTATTTTTCCAGTTGAACAGATATCTTTTTGAGTGCTTATTACATGCAAAGACACTGGTGTTAGTGATATAAAGATGAAAAATCATAGTTGTGCTCTTCAGACACTTATGATATAGTAGGGATGTGAGACACTAAGTCAGATGAACATTAGAAAATGATGGCATGTGTAGGAGAGGTCAGAGTAGCCTGAGAAATTCAAGAAATTGAGGGATCCCTTGGATATAAAGGATCAGGATATGGAAGAGGTGATAACTGTGCAGGGCCTTGAAAGAAGAGAAGGACTTCATTAGGTGGAGAATGAGCCACCGTTGGTCAGAGCATACACAATGGCCTCAAAGTGGGAGAGGGCAGGACAAGCTAAAAAATCCACCATTCCTGTGTAAAAAGCAACACACTTTTATTGTTATGTAGCTGTTGTACTAAGCTTTTATCTAACCCTTCTCTCTTCTTTTTAAGCCCAAGCCTTGTCAGTATTGCAACATCATTGCAGCATTTATTGGCAATAAATGTCAGCGCTGTACAAACTCAGAGAAGAAGTATGGACCACCATACTCTTGTGAACAGTGCAAACAACAGTGTGCCTTTGACAGGAAAGATGACAGGAAGAAGGTGAGTCTTTTTTTTCCCCCATGTGCTTTTGTTAAAGAAAACAAGTCAGGAATAATTATTATTATTCAGAATTATCAAGTTTTACGGGATATATTATTTAACATTTTTGCCAACTTCTTGTGACCAAGGTAAATTTGATGACCTGGTTTTTTTCAAGTTCATGCATAGGATCATCTACCCAGTTAGTTTTGTCTTGATGGGTAATTGGATATTTACTAGGTATTACTTTAATGGAGAGTAGGCCCTCTTTTTAAATGAGTTAGAAGGGAAGATCCATTTTTTTTTTAAACATTTCATTCTTTCAGTGGATTTTGGATTATAAATTCCATGAGTGCAGAAATTTCCATCAGGACAGAATTAAATGTCTTATTTGTTCTTTGTTCTCCACTAATCCTGTAGTAGAGCCTACTCTGCTGCCTCATAAGGACGTGGATGTGACTATGAATTCTCAAAGGCTACTCTAGGGTACATTAGTACAAGTTCTGACAAGGCCTACTAAGCTGGGGAGTCTCAGAGGGAGGGGCTCGGACTGGACTCTTGTCTATCACCCAGCGTTTAGCTTCACGAAATATGGGGAAACTCATCACTATTGGCCACTAGGCAATGAGTATTTTTGGTTACAGCAGCTGACAAAGGTGTAGTAGAAGGAGTGGTCACACCTATGAAAGCATGCATTCCGGAAGTATTGCACTTTAATAATTCTGTCCTCTACCTTTCCCACTAGTGTTCAACATTGTACCCTGGATTTAAAGTACTTTTTATTAACATCTTTTTTTTTTTTTTACATTTTCATTTCCAAATATATATCTTTCCCTCTCTTACCCCAAGAGGAATCTCTTGTAACGAAGATTAGAAAAGAAAGAGGAAACAAGCAGTTCAAAAATCAGTTAACACATCAGCTATATCTGACCATTCATTCTCCATCTGTGCAGAGAATGGAGGGAAGCACATATTCTCTGCTCTTCTGATGGCCAGGCTTGGTCATTATAGTTATAGTGTTCAGTTTCTTCTTTCCATTTCCATTGTCATTGTGTGTATTTTCCTGGAGCTGCTTACTTGCCTCTGCATCAGTTCCCTATATATTTATTGAATTACATTGTGCTACTAGGTTAAGTTTCCCAGAGAAAGCCTTACTTTTTTTAATCACACCTTTGGGCTAACATTTGGAAAAATCAGATCTTTTCTTCTTTGCTAAAAGTAAAAAATACAAAAGGCATACTGAATGGACTGGCAAGACAATACCAATGATAGCTTCAAATACCATCTAAATATTAACTATTATTATTTTTATATATAATTTTATTGTGTACAAAGCCTTTTCACCTTTATCATCTCATTTGGTTCTCATAAGCCTCTGAGGTAGGCAGATGATATTTCCATTTTATAGAAGGGAATACTGAGATGAGAAAAGGTAAAGTGACTCACCTATGTATCTAGTAAGTGGCAGAATGCAAGAATTGAACACCTAGCATCATGACTTCTGTCCTGGGCTGTTTCCATTGGGTCACATAGGTTTTTTGATAAAGCATAAGAAAAGTCCTTAATGAGATCTAGGCTAGATAAAGAATGAAAAAAACTCCATCAGAACTGATCTTGGGTTTCCATTTTGGCTTAAGCCTAACTGAATGTGTTTCCTACACTTGTGCTGCGTTTATGGATTCATATTTTTAAGGTTTTGTTGAACATCATTTATTTGGTGCTGTTCTTAAGGTAAAACATTGCTTATAATCATGCCTCCTTTTCCCCTCATGTCGGGAGGAAAGGCATTAGATATCTTAATGTGGGATCATTCCTCTCTGTTATACTTTACTCAGGGGATATTTTTCCTTTTGGAAATTTACCCAATTTACCACTGTGACACAGCAGAGATATTGAAAGAGCTATATAGACTGTATTTCACCCCTTCCTCTTTTCCCCTCCCCACTCCCTTCCCTAACTTCCTTCTTAGCTTCACAGAGACATTTTTGTCACAGAATCTCACAGAATTTGGAAGGGACCCCAGGACCCATCCAGTCCAGGGTTCTTACCCTGTTTTGGGTCTCTGAACCTTTTTGGCAGCCCAGTGAAACCTATAGGCCCCTTCTCAAAATGATGTTTTTTAAATGCATAAGATAAAATACAAATGATTTTAAAGGAAACCAAGGATTAGTGAAAATAAAGATATAATTTTTTTTCCTTCCAAGTTTATGGACCCTCCTCGAATCTATCCATGGACCTCCTGATCTAGTCTAAGCTGTAGTTGAAAAAGAATCCCTCTACATGATGTTTAACAATTGATCGTGCAGCCTTGGCTAAAAGACCCTTGTGGTAGGAAATTCATTCCCTATGAAGGCCACTCATTCCATATCTCAATAGCTCAGAATGTTAAGGAGCTTTTCCTTAAATCAAGAGGAGTTTACCTCTTCACAGCTTAGACCTATTGCTCCTGGTTCGGTTTGTCTTTCAAGGCTAAGCAGAATCACACTCGCCCTGTTTCTCCTTGATAACCCCTCTGATTTGAAGGTGATGGTTACTACAGTCACGTTCTTCTCTGCTCCCCAGCCCCCATGCCCCAAGGTCTTCTCTTTTGGAAAATTTCAGCACCAGCCTGTGTTTTCTGAGTTGGGGAGAAAGAGAGATATAAGCATCTCCATTTTCACTTGTTTTGGTCTTTCAGGTGGATGGAAAGTTGCTATGTTGGCTGTGTACGTTATCGTACAAGCGAGTCCTACAGAAAACCAGAGAGCAGCGGAAGCACCTGAGCAGCTCTTCCAGAGCAGGCCACCAAGAGAAGGAGCAGTACAGCCGGCTGAGCGCCGGGAGCCATTTTAACAGGTGAGGCAGAGAGCCGCTGCCGCCACCACTGCCACTGCCAGCTTTCTAGCTGAAAAGCCAGACTGGATGATGCTAAGTCCCCTGGAATGAATAGGGTTGTAGCCAAAGTTAACTACTCTTTATGGGGGAAGCTTTGTTATTTTTATTTTGTCTTTTGAGGCAAGAGAACTTTGTTTTACTCTTCATTTAAGCAAATGTCTGAACCACATTCCAGACCTTTTCACTTGGAGGACCAATCAGAAAGAGGTCCTGTCGTGACTCTGATCACAGACTTCTTTTTAAAATATCCAGCACATTATGGGAAATGCTATTTAAAGTTACTGTAGACATTATAAAATATTTAGGAGTCTACCTACTGAAACAAGCCGAGGAACTATATGAACACAATTACAAAACACTTTTCACACAAATAAAGTCATCTAAATAATTGGAAAAAACATCAGTTGCTCATGGGTAGGCCAAGCTCATATAATAAAAATGACAATTCTGTCTAAGCTAATTTACTTATTCAGTGCCATATCAGTCAAACTACCAAAAATTATTTTATAGAGTTAGAAAAAATAATAACAAGATTCATTTGGAAGAACAAAAGGTCTGGAATATCAAGGGAACTAATGAAAAGAAATGCAGGGGAAGGTGGTCTAGCCATTCCAGGTCTTAAATTGTATTATAAAGCAGCAATCATCAAAACTGCTTGGTATTGGCTAAGAAATAGAGTGGTGGATCAGTGGAATAGATTAAGTATGCAAGACACAGTAGTCAATGACTATAGTAATCTGTTATTTGATAAATCCAAAGACCCCAGCTTCTGGGATAAGAACTCACTATTTGACAAAAACTGCTGGGAAAACTGGAAATGAGTATAGCAAAAACTAGGCGTAGACCAGAATCTCACACCATATACCAAAAGAAAGTCAAAATGGGTTCATGATTTAGATATAAAGGCTGATACTATAAACAGATTGGGAGAGCAAGGAATAGTTTACCTGTCAGATTTATGGAGAACAGGAAAATTTATGACCAAACAGGAGATAGAGAACATTATGAAATGCAAAATGGATCATTTTGATTATATTAAATTGAAAAGTTTTTGCACAAACAAAGCCAGTGCAGCCAAGATTAGGAGGGAAGCAGAAAACTAGGAAAGAATTTTTACGGATTATCTTTATTATCTCTGATAAGGGCCTCATTTCTAAAATATATAGAGAACTAAGTCAAATTTATAAGAATACAAGTCATTCCCCGCTCGATAAATGGTCAAAGGATATGAACAGGCAGTTTTCAGATGAAGAAATTAAAGCCATCTATAGTCATATGAAAAAATGCTCTAAATCACTATTGATTAGAGAAATGCAAATCAAAACAACTCTGAGGTACCACATCACACCTATCAGATTGGCCAACATGACAAAACAGGTAAATGGTAAATGTTGGAGAAGATGTGAGAAAAATGGAACACTAATGCATTGTTGGTGGAGTTGTGAAACAATCCAACCATTTTGGAGAACAATTTGGAACTATACCCAAAGGGTTATAAAAATGTCCATACCCTTTGACCCAGCAATAGCGCTTCCAGGGCTGTATCCCAAATAGGTCAAAGAATGGGAAAAGGGACCCACATATACAAAAATATTTATAGCAGCTTTTTTTGTGGTGGCAAAGAATTGGAAATTGACAGGATGCCCATCAATTGGGGAATGCCTGAACAAATTGTGGTATATGAATGTAGTGGAATACTATTGTGCTATAAGAAATGATGAGTGGGCAGACCTCAGAAAAACCTGGAAGGACTGAGTAAAGCGAGCAGAACCAGGAGAGCATTGTACATGGTAACAGCCATGATGTGCTATGATTAATATTGATAGATTAACCCTTCTCAGCAATGCAAGGTTCTAAGACATCTCCAGAGGTCTCAAGATGGAAAATGCTATCCACATCCAAAGAAAGAACTGTGGAGTTTGAACGCAGATCAAAGCATACTATTTGCTGTTTTTTTTCTTCTGTTTTGTTTCCTCTTTCTTGTGGTTCCTCCTGTTGGTTCTAATTCTTCCTTACAACATGACTAATGTAAAAATATGTTTAATAGTAATGTATATGTATAGCCTATATCAGATTGTGCACCCTCTTGGGGAGGGAGGTGGAGAAAAATTTTAAACTCAAAAGTTTATGAAAGTAATCATTAATAAATCAAAATAAATTAATAAAAAATTTTTAAAAATACATTATGGGAAATGCTGATTAAGGAGTTCCATTAGGCTAGGTCCTCAGATAATAAATAAGAACATTTCATTAACGAGAAAAGAGACCAGGAGAAGTATATAATGGCTTAGCCAGAGTCACACAGTCAGTGGCAAAGCTGGGATTGGAACTCACCGAGATCCTTTATGCTAGCTCCAGTGTTCTTTCCACTATTCCACATCATTTTTCCTGGCATCTAAAGCAGTCTAATAAAGTGAAGTTAAAACTTGTTGAAATTAACTGTAGTAAGGGCATGGGGGACCTCAGAGCAACAATTGAGGTTGGGGGATATTTAACCTGCTTTATGCCATACTTTAGCATTAGGTGAGTCTGTCTTCTAGCTAGCTTTGAATTCTCAGAGATAGAATGTAGAGCTCGAAATAGGGTTGGGCTTCACTTGTGCTGCCATATCTAGAGATGGTCCAAAGTTGGCTTCTTTAGACTATGGCAACTTTGGTTGTGTTAATATATGTATATGATTAAACTAAGTGAAGACCAGAGATAGGTTTGAGCTATATTTCAGCTTTTGGTGATTTCAGAAACAGAATAAGGGTAACCCCCATAGGTCTCTAGAGCAGCAGGTTTTTTTTTTTAAATTAATTAATTTATTTTTAGTTCTCAACATTCACTTCCATAGAGCAGCAGTTTTTGATGCTGTGATGGGTCTCTTTGCCTAGCAAATTAATTAAGATCAAGTCTTTATTGACCTGAGTTTCATGACCACTAATGCAGCCCAGAAATTTAATGTTGAGGTTGTTTGTGCAGGGCACCATGATGTGGTTGGTGTACAAAATGCGTTCTGGTTCTGCTGTTTTATTGGTAGGGATGACTTTGGCCAAGTCTCCTGACCCTTCTCGGTTTTTTCCCTCATGTGCAAAATGGGGATAACAATACCTAGGCTACCTACTTCCCAGGTCATTTTAGAGAAAGTGCTTTGTTAGAACTAATGTAGGAATGTGGGTTATTGTTATTTTAAACTGTAAAGAACCATGTCAATGCAAGCTGCTATTTTAGCTATTCAGCCACTTAGGAACTAAGATCTGCAATTGAAAAGCAATTTGTTGTTTTTTTGTTTTTCTGTTTTTTTGGTTGGGCAGTGAGGGTTAAGTGACTTGCCCAGGGTCACACAGCTAGTAAGTGTTATGTGTCTGAGGCTGGATTTGAACTCAGGTCCTCCTGAATCCAGGGCTGGTGCTCTATCCACTGTACCACCTAGCCTCCCCGAAAAGCAATTTGTTTGCATGATTCACTTAAATAATATGAAAATGAGTTCACACATTATATAACTATAACCTGGGCCTTTTGTGGTAGTCACGTTTGGAAATGAAACTTCAGCATTTTGTTTATCTGTTTCTAATGTGTTCCCCTTTTTGTTGTTTAAAAGCCAAAAAACACTGTCTACATCTTCAATTCAGAATGAAATTCCAAAGAAGAAACCTAAGTTTGATGCTATCACAGCTAATGGAGACAGGTGAGCTAGCTGTGTGTGTGTGTGTGTGTGTGTGATGAGATGCATGTGCAGTTTCTACAAAAGGGGCACGTTTCAGAATGTTTTGCTGCTAGACACAAGTGCTTGTATCACTGCCTTCATTTGTTGGTATTTGTCTATGGTTCTGTTCTCCTCAATGAATTTATAGCAGTTTTAATGATCCTCTAGCCCTTAAATCCTGTAGGCCATCAGGCATAGCCTTTCACAGTAGCAGGAGTAGTTCTAGGTTGGGAACAACTGTGGGCCGCCTTCTCATTGTGGACTCTACTGGGAGCACCCCGTAGTATATGAGTCTTGTTAGTCTGATAGGCAGAGCAGGCAAGTTAGAGGGAAAATAGATTGTAAATGTGAAGGCTGGTTCAGTTCATGTCATCTTCTTCTGTTCAGAAAGAAAAGGTGAGACCTTTCTGTGACCAGTTCAGAAGCTGTATAAGGAAAGTATGAGATAGAAATAGATATGTAGATATATATTTGATTTTAAACTTGTATAAATGCATATTTTTATTCCTCGCTTTCCTCTCTCCTTCTCAGCGTTCCTTCCTCTTACGAGCTGCTTTGTCCTAATATCCAGAGTGCCCCGTCCGTGTTGGTGCAGTGGGCTGCTTCCCAACAGAGTCTTGGTGCCAACCATTATCCTGTTCCTCCAGGCACTGGCATCCTGAAGTGAGATCACCTGACATGCTCTTCCCCTAAATCCTTGGAATTATCTCCGTTCTGGAAAGTGTCCCCCTGAAGGATCTCCCTCCAGAGTAGACTGAAATCGGGAGCAGATCATCGTGCAGGCTCTCCAGGGCTGTCTTTTATTGATTTTAGTGGGATAGAAGGTCTTTTAAATTCACTTATCACCCATTAAGCCATCATTTCAGCTCATTTCAGATCCCTCACAGCTGCTCTTCTGATAGCTGGTCCCATTGGTTCTGGACTTCTTGAATCTACTTGTTGAAAAAGTCTAATTTAAATGTGCAAATTAAGTGGGGGAATGAGCTGTAAGGAATTTCTTCTTTCTAGTCAGATTCAGTGTTCTGGAGAAGCCCCAAATATCCTGGGGCTAGTGCAGTTGTTTCTCGTCACCTCCAGCTTGCCTGGTCGGGCCTGCAAGGAAACATTGGAAGGCGTGAGCATCGGCGGCAGCAGGATTTAAAGTGAAGGCTGCTAAAACCAGGCAGTGAGGCCAAGGCCAGGGCCTTCCAAAAAGCTTATCTGCCACTTATGTGAGATCCTTCACTGGGATAAGGTTAAACTACCTGAAAAAAAATATCCAGCGTACTGTAAAGTTTACTGCAAAGTGATTGATTCTCTGTCATTTTGGGTTTCTTGGATTACTTTATTTTGGCCTTACTTTAGATTCTGCTCCACAGTTAGAGCTAAACTAATCCCTTTCCATTTTGACTGCTGTTCGAGTTATAAACCAGTTACCTAGGGTGTCTGCTTTTCTCTGGTGGGACACTGTCCTGCCTAGTGAGCAGTAAGACTTAATACAAGAAACACAAAATTTCAGAATGTCCTGTGTTATAATAGATACCCTCTCAACTAAGGGATCAGTAGCAATTTTTCCAGATTTTACAAAGAAGCTTTCTTCTAAAGAGCTATTCACATGTTTCCTTCTCATAGTTTGTTTGTTTGTTTGTTTTTTTTTTATGAATTTTGGAAATGCCTATAAATATACATTGTTTTAAAAAATACACCAATTCTATTCTAAGATTTCTGTGTTACAAATCTTTATGCATTTCTTTTCCACTTTACTGTAATTTTTCTTCTTAGCAGGAAATTTTTAAGCTTAAATATGAGTAAAAATAAGTTTTCCTTATCCAGCCCTCTTCAGTCCCTTTGGACTACTTCTTTCTGCTTCCTGTTTTCTTTTTTAAAAATATAGTCTCTCTGACCATTCTGTAACAGTGACAGTCAAATCAGTGTATTTATTGAGCTCCTCTGCTGTACATAACTAACTCTTCTAGTCCCTATATTTCTAAACAATCAATTATTACAACTACCCCACAATTCCTTAATTTTCAGTGCATTAATAACACCTTCCCTCCTTTGCTGTTCTGACTTTTAAAAAATTTGCTCATCCTTTCCTTATATTTCACCCCTTTGATTTTTGGTATTCATCTTATGCAAGTTTCTGAAACTTCCCACTTTCTTTCTTGTCCCTTCCTTTTCACTAATCTCATGAAACTTTACATTTCCCTTATCTGATAGCTTGATCTTGTGTAAACCCCATTATTTCATTAATTACATTAACCAGAAATTTCACATTCTTAGGATTTCTTAGCCTTTAATTTCTTTTCCAACTTCCTATAAAATTTCCTTCTTTACTGCTTCCTTTCACTCCTCTTTGCAGATTTGCCTTGTTGAAATTGTGTCAAAAAATATCAAATTTGGAGGGAAAAACCCTCGTTTCCTTCCTACTCTTTTCTCTAGGAAACAAATCCAGCAGTTGCTTTTAATCCCATTTGTCTAACTCTCTTAAGTCACAATGGTCTCAACAGGTAACATTCTGTCAGTATTTGGTAGCCAGCCTTGGGACTGACTCTTTCAAACAAACATTTTTTGTCCTAGCTTTCTTTTCATTTGATTATTCTCCTTTCCTCCTTCTGTCTCTCCATTCGTCTGGGTTAATGGAACCAGAAAACCTTGGATTCAGTTCCATACCTGGCACAGTATTTGGTATAGAGTAGGTGCTTAATAAGTGCTTGTTGATTTGAGGGCAGATCATTGGATCACTCTTTTGTGCCTTATTTCCTCATCTAAAATGAGGCTGTTAATACTTGAATAGAATGAAAAGCCATGAATGTCTTATGATCTGTTTACACAGAGAGCCAGCAGCTTTATGGATTAAATAAATGTTAATGCACTTTGCAAAACCTTAAAAGTGCTCTTACAAATGTTAGCTATTATCATCATTGTAGAGAGGTTGAGTTTCTTGTTCAGGGTTAAATGGTTAATTTTGGAATCAGGATTGACTTTCAGATCCCTGGTCCTCGGCCTCTCTATGGGATTATGGAGCTTGACTAAACTATAGTAAGAGGCTTCCAATTAATTCTCTTCTGTATATGCCACATATGTGCATTTTGATATTTTGGGCCCTTCCTGGAAAGCTTCTGTGCTGAGTCTGCCTGTGTTCATTCTGGAGGATGGTTGGGGTTTAGAGCTGCCAGAATTGCCACTGATTGGGCCATGATAAGATGGGGTGGTCAGGGGAGAAATACTCTAACCTGAAGGTATTCTTTGCAGAAACAGTGTCCTCTTGCTCAGTGTCTGAGATAGCCCTGGGTCCCACAGTTCTCCTAATCCAGGTCACCAACATAATTTTGAACTATTTCATCACTTTTACTTGTTTTACCTTCTTCAGCTGTAGATCCTTTCTGTAAGCTCTCCTTAGAGAGGAGAGCCATCTCTCCTAAAAAGAAAGGCTACTCCTTAGGGTCCAAGGCCCAGTGTCTGGGCCAGGATCCTCCCATGTCGCGCCACACTCTTAGCTCTGCCTCATCTGTAGGAGGCATTGCAAATTAGCCCCTGCATGCCAGCCGCTGCTTCCCCACAAGCATCACAGGCCACTCTCTGGCCCCGTTGGTTTTTTCCCTTTGTCTCACCATGTGATTGTAACAAGGAGTGGCTGTTCTGCTTCTGCTCACCCCTTCTTACATCTTAACTACCTCTGTCTCCAGTTTTTTGTTTTTAGTTTTGTTTTTGTTGTTGATGGTTTGTTTTTTTTTTTGCATGGGTGGAAACCACCTGCATTTGAGCATGTGCTTTAATGTCACTGAGTTTACTTCACTAAATTCACTAATCCCAATTTAAGGCTAATTAGGTGAAATTAGAGTTTCATTTGGGAATTGTATAGATGAGAAGAGGTGGGGGAGATAGAATGCTAGATTCATAGATGTAGAGCTGGAAAGGATATTGGGGTCATTTGGTCGGACCCCCCTTCATCTTATACTAAGGCCCGGAGAGGTTCAGTGCACTCAGGTAGTAGGTGGCAAGGACAGTCTGCTATCATTATGGCAAAATGGAACCTTCTGGACTCGTCCTACTCTGGAATCCAGGAGGAAACACCAGCATGTGGTCCTAGGGTTATATCACTTCTCCCCTCTTTTTCCTTTGTGTCTGACAGTCAGAATAAAACAGTAGCCAGATGGTTAAAGCTCTTTAATGCTAAATTACTTAACCGTTGGGGGAAACCTAGTTTTTCTCCTAACCAAGTCTCCTTTCATGTATTACTCTAAGATGGGATTGCCTCTGGGTTAGAATGCAGCTGTTCCAACAGTTCTACCAAATTATAGCTCTTTCTTTTCTAAAGTGCAGAGAGATTACATCTGAGAAGTTAATGCAGAGTCCTCCACATTGTCATTTGTTCAGGAAACTAGTCTGACATTCCATTCAGAACAAAACAATCACATTTTAATATGTCAAGTCAACCAGAGCTTTAAAATAACACAGACACAAAACCTCCGCAGTGCTGCTGAGGCATTATGTGAGTACTAAATGTGAAGGAAAAGACTGCAGTATTGCAGGTATGCTGTTGGAATGGTTCAGATGTACCATGTTCAGTTGTTCAATGACCCTAAGTGGAGCCTGGCTCCAGGGACCACAAACAGAGGAGTCAGGAGATTCCTCTAATCTCTTGCTCTCCCTCTTTTTTAAAAGCAGCTTTTCACCAGATTTGGCCCTGGACTCTCCAGGCACTGATCACTTTGTCATCATGGCCCAACTCAAGGAGGAAGTGGCCACGCTGAAGAAGATGCTTCATCAGAAGGACCAGATGATCCTGGAAAAAGAGAAGAAGGTATAATGTTTGGGTCAGACATTTCTGCGTGTGTGTGTCTGCGTGTGCCTATGTATGATACATACATATGATATAGCACATCTTTGAGGATAGGAAGGTTGCTTTCTAGATAGGTATCTTGTGAAAAGTGTCCAGTTTTTTTTGCACTCTCTTTTGTTCTATCATTTCTTTCATAGTTTGCTCTTGTGTGATATTTGGAATCGGCTTCTTTTTTTTAAAATAGTATTTTTTCCAATTACATGTATAGGTAATTGTTAGCATTCATTTCTACCAAATGTTGAGTTCCAAATTTTTCTCCTCTCCCTCCCCTCTTCCTAAAACCATAAGCAATTTGATATCAGTTATATGTGTGTAATCCCGATTAGTCTTAGTTGTGAAAGAATAAACAGAACAAAAGGAAAAAAACCTCGAAAAAATAAAGTGAAAATTGTATGGTTCTATCTGCATTCAGAGTCCATCTGTTTTTTTTTTTTATGTGGAGGTGGATGGCATTTTCCATCATGAGTCCTTTATAATTGTCTTGGGTGATTGTATTGCTGAGAAGAGCGAAGTCATTGATCATCACACAGTGTTGCTGTTACTGTGTATAGTGTTCTTCTGGTTTTGCTCATTTCACTTTGCATCACTTCATATAAGTCTTGGAATCAGCTTCTTAATTTGGAAGATTATAGTAGAGAGTGGTCCTCACTTCATAAAATTCTTCTTTATGCCTATATATTCACTACTATTTTAAACCAAAGTATATATTTTTTGCTAGGAAGAGAAAGTGGGTGGTTCAACTATGTTCTCTTTATTAGCTAGAAATTGAACTTGCTGAGGCTGTTGGTTACTATCTTGTCAATAACATCAGCCTTTCATAGGCCCAGCACTGCTTCTAGCATCTCATTTAGAATAGAAGCTAGGAATGAAGTTTAAAATGATTCATAAATCAGAGAAACAGGCAAAAAATTGAATATCAGCAGGGAGAAATATAAGTTAATGCATTTAAAGAGCAAAAGAATACAACTGAATGTCCGAGCCCCAAAGAAAAATATGTAGGAGTCTTAGGATCAACGATTTAAGAGCTAAAGGAGCGATAGAAGATTTTATTTTAAGTAAGAGGGTTTTTAAATGCAACTAGCCGCAAAGTACTCTTCCTCTAATTATGGTAATTATGTTTCTGTCTTGTTTCAGTACCATTCATTGGGAGAGATTTGGAGCAACTGAAGAGGTTCTATAGAATAGTTCTGAAATGCAGTGTAGGAAAATTACTTCCATGAGGAAAGGTTGAAGTTGGTCTTAAAAAAACTAAAGAATTAGATTTTGTATACAAACTACATGAAATAGAAATTTTCTATTTCTATTCTATTTCTATCTATGTTCTAATTTCTATATATGTTACTAACATAACATTGTGTTATGTTAGTAACATATTACTTAGGGAGCTGATGTAATCTCCTAGAGATGTTTAAGAAAAGGAAAATCAATTGTTGATAATTCAAAATAAATTAAAATTTAAAAAAAAAAAAGGGAAAATCAGTTCATTGGTTTTTAGATGATTTAGATATGGACTTTGAGGTGGAGGAATCCCTGGATTTAAAGATGATTGTTTTGAGAGGTCATTCAAGTCCTTAGTGCAAAGGCATTCCCTTTGACTGCTCTGTCTCCCTTCAGATTACTGAATTGAAAGCTGATCTGCAGTACCAGGAGTCTCAGATGAGAGCCAAGATGAATCAGATGGAGAAGACCCACAAAGAAGTAACAGAGCAGTTACAGGTGATGCATTTTCTTTTAATGTGGTAAAATAGAGACACAGAGCTGGCAATATTTTAAAGGACCAAGGGCTTAGAAAACTGTTTTCTCATAGTTTTGATAAATCATCTATAAATCTGTAAGTATCTCTTACTCTTAGACCTTTTCAGATTTAATTCATTCAAAAAATATATTTTATAATTTTGTACCTTCTTTGACCACATATAAGCTAAATATAATTTCAGATAATCAGGATTATAAAGTATTTACCACACAGCAGTCTCTGGTTTGTGGATGTATAACTCCATGTGCAGCAAGGTGATGGTGTTCCTTATGATCATGAGGCTTGTTTAAGGGTGATTCCGTTCCCTTCAGGGGCCACACGTGCTCATTAGTGGCTTTTTGACTCCTTTGCTTTCTCTGTCCTTCCCCCCTGCTTCTTACTCTTCCCACATGTGCCTCTGCCTTTGCAGCAGTTCCTGTCCTATGTAGGTTACGTGTCTCCATCTGTTAAAACCTCATCTTTGCACTGTATTTCCAGGCCAAAAACCGAGAGCTTTTGAAGCAAGCAGCAGCTTTGTCAAAGGGCAAAAAGTCTGAGAAGTCGGGAGCAATGACTTCTCCGTGAAAAATGGCCTGGGAACTTTTTGAGCAGCAGCAACATGGAGTCTTGGGCTAGCCTGGAGGCACGGCTATGCTGGGATCTGCAAGCTTCCCTGGGAATCTCCTTTTTGTGACAGTCATCCCTCTTTATACTCTGGCTATGGGCAGGGTGGAAATACCTGGTGTGTTGCATTAGGATCGCATGCTGGTGGGTGTCATGGTTAAGTGGATATCTCTATTTTTTTTCTACTGCTTTTTGGTTTTGTTTTGTTTTGTTTTTATAGTGGTAACTGCTCATTGGTTTGTGCAGAAGGAATTATTTTCCCCACCCCTGCATCCTGCAATTCCCATGAGCAAACAGTTTGGCTTTGGGTAAATATTATCACTGCCACCTTTCCAACTCAGAAGCTGCCACCCTAACAGGACTTAAACACAATGGAGGTTTCCACTCTCCGTTAAAATTGCTGCTTCGGGGGATACTTTTTTTTTCCCAGTATTCTGTGAACTTTGTACTATATATAGACAGAAGTTTATTTATTTAAAAAAACAAAAACCGAAATCCTTTTTCTTGAGAAAGGGAAATACTCAGACCACCTAGTTCTCTTTGTGACAAAGCTGTGATAACTATTGGAAAAACCACCCCAATCTCCATTTAGGCTACAGAAAAGGATGCCAGTTTCATCTGGTTTAATGCCTAGTTGTTATATAATGTTGATGGTTAAGGTGAATGAAACAGTCAGATTCAGAAGTGTGGCATTAGGTGCTTTTTTTTTTTTTTAGGACCCCTTGAGAAAAGGGCATCTAAGGAGAAGTTTTGGGAGGGAACAGGGATTTCAAAAGTCTGTCTCTTTAGATAATGGCAGAAAGTTTTGTCCAGGTTGTACTGGACATCCTCACTTTCCTAATCATTTTATGTAATTAATTTTGAACTCTTTCACACTGCCACTTATTTGCTTTTTAAATCCCTTTCTTTCCCAACACCAGTTGTCAGATCACATCATTGCCAAGGAACATTCTGAATTGGAAAAGCTGCAAATAGTGCATGTCTTCAAATGAGACAAGCATCTCAGGATGGGCTATTTGAGTCATAAGGAAGCACTGAGAGAGGGAGAGAGAGAGAGAGAGAGAGAGAGAGTAAGTGTGTGTGTGTGTGTGTGTGTGTGTGTGTGTGAGAGAGAGAGAGAGACACATACCATCCTCAAGTTTTGATGGAAATAAAATGGAAAGATGTGTTTCTTAGATGTAGTCCATCCTCGGTATGTTGTCCAAGATAACTCAATGACTTATCTTCAGTAGGTAATGCACTTTGGGTTATTTTGTTCCATAGTGGGGATGGATTTGTAGTTTCATTTGCATACTGTTAATAGGGCCCACCTTTGTTACCTTTGAAAGAAAGCTGCCTGGGATTAAGGTTTGCAGTATGGGCCATGAAACATGGTAAGTAACTGTAGGTTACCCATCACCTTGGCCTCATCAATCCATCAACCATCAACAGAATTAATCAGATGCCAGGCCAGAATTTGAAGTAAGAACAATGGAGGGGGGGTGTGGGGGTGTGTGTGGATGTGTGTGTGTGTGTGTGTGTGTGTGTGTGTGTGTGTGTGCGCGCCGCACTCACAAGAGATGAATGAGTCCTAGCTACCACAATTATAGATGTGAGTTCAGCCTCCTTGCATTTCTTAGAAGCAGAGTATTACAGTTAAGAATACAGTACACTGGTGGCTTCATATTATAGCTGTTTCCAGGTCTGTTGACATCTCAGAAATCTCACAGATAGATTAACGAAATTGGAAAAAACCAGATCTGGAAGTGGATCTCTTTGCCTTATGTAGAAGGAGTATAAATAAACTATGTGTGTTGTCCATGCGATGCTGTCATTTGAAATGCTAAGTTCCCTTCCAAACAAGGGAGACCAGCAGTACCAGTTAGTTTTGTATATTTTTGAGTCAGAACCTTTAAATAAAGAAGGTCAGACAATACTTTTCAGGTATATTTGCTCTGAGTTTAAAGAAAAGGTTGAAAAAATGTGACAGATACTGTTTTTTAAACCTTAAAAATTGAGAAATTGTTACATCAAGTGTGATACCATAAAATGACAAGCTTAGTTTTGTACTAAATCTTTTTTTAAAAGTCTTGACATTTAATATGAAGCAAATTCACACATTTTCTAACTTTCCTTAGATTTCAAAAGGGAGGGAGGGGGCCCCTGGATTTGAAATTTTGGTTTTTAAAATCATGATGCTGTTTTATCATGAAATTGAATAGGTGACTTTTAGTAACACCATTGTTTCTTTGTATGTTTGTAATAATGGAAATTCCAAAATGCAGGAATGTTTTGGTTTGTATAGACTTTGACAGAAGTAAGAGTGTAAAAATTCATATTGACTGAAATACAGTTTTTTTTCTATTCATTTCTTGTTTGGTCATTATGTGAATATATAGTCCCAAGGAAAAGGGACTGTCCTTAACAAATACATACATAAAAAAGAGTAGAAGAGTAAGTTTTGGAGCTGTATTATGTGTGGCCTTGTGTATGAGGAGGCTGGAATTAGCGGTCTACTAGTGATAACTCTATGATCCTATAATGAATTCAGTATTTTATTTTAATAGGGAACTACTGAAGGTTTTTCAGCAAGGAAGAAACACATGATCAGACCTAGACCTTAATAAGAGGGTTTAGAGCAACTGTGTGAAGGATCAATTAGAAGGGAAAGGTCAGAGGTAGGGAGAACAAAGGTGAGTGAGGAGAAGATTGAAGAAATACGGAGTTTAAATCAATAGGACTTCACAGACTCTGAGTTGGAAGGGTTGTCAGAGTCTACCTAGGCCCATCTTGTAATGTAGAGGTGGGGAAAAGGGTGAGGAAGAAGGAATAGTTAGAAAACACTTTATTTTTGAGCCTGAGTGGCTGGAGCACCGTAGTAGTAATCATAAGAAATAAGGGTCATGGGAGGGTAGATAATGGAATTCACTTTTGGACATGTTGTCTCTGAGTTACTGACTAGATGTCCCCCAGACAACTGGAGATGCAGGTTTCATCCTTGATAGCAGTCCAGCTTTGGGAATCATTTGCATAGAGGTGATAATTCAACCTACTGGAATCGATGAAACCATAAAGGAGATTATGAAAAGAGAAGAAAAGAGGACTAGGACTGAGCTTTGGGGGATACTCACACTTAGGGGGCAGAAGGAGGGCAGTGAACAACCCACAAGCATTTATTAAAGGCCTGCTAAAGGGTCAGATGCTGTACTGGGTGCTGGGGATACCGAAAAGAACAAACAAAGCAGTCCCTATTCTCAAAGAGTCTGCATTCCAGTCAGGGAGACAAGTACAAGAGGAACTAATCAGATAAAGAACTAGGAAAGAGCGATGTGACGGAAACCAAGAGAAGGGAGAGTATTCAGGAAGAAGTAGGGATAGGAGTGTTGACTGCAGAGAGAGTTAGGGTAAGAACTGAGAAAAGTCCATTGAATTTAGCAGTCAGACATTTATTAAACACCTACTAGGTACCCAGCACTTTGTGCTAAACGCTGGGGATTCAGAAAGAGGCAAAAAATAGTCCCTGCCCTTAAGGAGCTCACAGTCTAGCGGGGGATACAACAAACACAAATATGTACAAACAAGTTATATCCAAGATTAATTGGGAATAATTAAAAGAGGGAAATCATCCATCTAGAACCCTTTAGATTTTAGAGGAGTTAGGAAACAGGCTCTGAACTGCAGGTGTTGGGCCAGAAAACTGCAGAATGGAGGAAATTAGGTCACCAGGACAGGACAGTGTGTGTGCATGTGTGTGTGTACGTGTGTGAAGCATTCCACCAAACTTGAAGGAAATAGCACAGCATCCAGCTGGGGCCAGTTGTGACCATGCAAAAGTCAGTTGGGGCTTCCTGTAGAAGGTGGAATTTTAGTTGGGACTTAAAGGAAGCCAGGGGACTTCTGAGTCATGTGAGCAATAAAATGGTGGACTAGATATTTTCTCAGATTCCCATGACCTCTTAAATCTCTCCAAAACAGATATTATGCACCCCAGATAAATCAAATTCAGCTGTTGCCATAGTCTAGGACCCCCATATTCCCAAAGAAGGTAAAAAATAGGAAAACTTGAAACCCAGGAACTAAGGCTCACCGACCTTGAGCTCACTCAGCACCCTCCCCCACCTTATGTGCTTCCAGCAGTGAGGCTGCAGTAGCAGACCCAAGGACACGACACAGGCTTATATCAGAACTCACTCATATAATCTGTCCCCGGCTCCCTCTTTCCAGTGCTATAAGAAGTTTGTTCAGGCCTCAAGAGCCAGCTTGGCCACAGCCCTTCAGGAGCAAAAGCCTGCTGGGGACTGCAACCCAGAAGCACCAGTGCTGCAAAGCTCTGAACTACCGGTGTTGGGAAAAACAGGCTCTGAACTGCAGGTATTGAGCCAGAAAACTGCAGAATGGAGGAAATGAGACAGGTCACCAGGACAGGACACTGTGTGTGTGTGTGTTTGTGTTTGTGTATATGTGTGTGTGTACGTGTGTGAAGCATTCCACCAAACCTGAAGGAAATAGCACAGCATCCAGCTGGGGCCAGTTCTGACCATGCAAAAGTCAGTTGGGGCAGAGGCTGGGGAACCTTGAATTGTCTAGTGTGGGAAGGGGCGGACACACTTTGAGATTCCACTCCCAAAGAAACCACCGTCAGAAGGGAGGCAGTCAGGAAGTGAGTGATAAGGAAAATAAGGGGATGGAGAGAGACTGAAAGTACCAAAGATTTCAGAAAGAAGAGATCTCAAAGACCTTGAACATAAACAGATAAATCAACAGGAAAAACTAATGACAGAAGGAAATATGACTTCCAGATCTAGTAGAGTTCAGGCATCTATGAATAAATACTGCAAAATGAAATAAAATGATCCAACACTTGATAAGACAGAAGACCTTGTAGAGTCTGAGGAGAACATGGAACCACAACACACTGTTCCTAAGTGGTTTAAAAGAGAAGTGAGAACATTGAGAGCAGCATTCTTGTCCTGCACAACAAAAATAATGAACAGAATAGAAAAACTTGAACAAAAAATGGTGAGCCTCACCAAAGAAATGAAAGAGAATAATAGGTTGGGTGCAGATACAAGAAGTGGAGGACAACACATAAGAAGAGAGGCAAAAAATAACATTAAAAGAAAACATGTTCACTATGTAAGCAAAAACGCTGATCTTGAAGACAGGATTTGTTAAGGGTCATAGCTCTTCCAGAAGAATATGACAGGACAGAAATCCTTAACACCATAACGAAGAAAATAATAGGAGATAATTGTCAAGAACTTCTGAACATAGAAAATGGAATTGCAATTGAAAAAACTGACAGATTGTCTCCAAAAAAACCCTAAAAACTATGCCCAAAGGACTATAAAATTGCCCGTACCTTTTGGTCCAGCAATACTACTATTAGGTCTGTATTCCAAAGAGATCCTAAAAAAGGGGAAAGGACCTACATGTTTATTTATAGCAGCTCTTTTTTGTGGTGGCAAAGAATCGGACAAGGTTGGGGAACTTGTGGCCTCGAGGCCACATCTGGCCCTCTAGGTGCTCAAGTGGGCCCTTGGACTCAATCTAAACTTCACAGAACAAATCCCCTTAATAAAAGAATTTTTGCTGTAAAACTTGGACTCGGTCAAAAGGCCGCACCCAAGGACCTAGAAGGCTACATGTGGCCTTGGGGCCACAGGTTCCCCACCCCTGCTTTAGTGTTTTGCTAAAGTGCTATATGCTAGCTATTAAAGTGAAGTGAGTGGAACCAGGAAAACATCATACACCATAACATAACATACCATAACATAACATAACATAAACATTGTAACAGGGATCAACCCTGAAAGACTTAGCTACTCTAATCAATAGTGATTCAAGAGCATTCCTAAGGATTCACGATGAAAGATGGTATCCACTTCTAGAGAGAGAGAAGTGATGAACGGAGTGTAGGTTGATGCATATTTTTTTCACTTTTTTTTGCAACATGGCAATATGGAAATATTTTGCAAGATTTCTTGTGTACAATTGATGTCATATTACTTGCCTTCTCAATGGGTGGGGGAGGGCTGGAAGGAGGGAATTTGGAACTCAAAATTTTTAAAAATAGACGTTAAAATAAATAAAATATAAAAATGCTAGCTCTTATTATTATATCAGAGTATAATGGGCATTGTGACTTTGGTCTTCTAGTGTGAACTTAATCAACATCCCCAAACCACCCTATGTAAACTCATTTGCATAGTAGGGAATGTATTTTAAGGCAGGGAGACCTGCAATATTCATGTTTAACCTGTTCTAATATTGGGCTCTTTCAAAATGCATACTTGGTTCCATCAACATGGCAGAATTGAATTAGGTGACCTGGGTTTTAGTCCTATCTTTGGTACTTTGTGACCTTGGACAAGTAATTTCTATCCTATAAGCTAAATATACTCTTTTAAAATAGAAAAAAAAATGCTCTAAAATTTTTAATAAAATTGCTGGGATTAGATGATCTCTAAGTTTCTTTCCAGTTTTGAAATCCAAATTTACTAGTGTGTCTGAGACATCTGGAACAGGGCAAAAAGTGGGAAGCAAACTTTCCTGACAGGATCAACGGTTTGTAATTCTGTATAATGAATACAGATTTGGAACTGAAGGAATCTTAAAGGTCACCAAATCCAACCTCTTCATTTTACATATAAAAAAACTGAGGCTCACAGAGTGACTTGTGAATCCAAATCTAGCACTTTCCACTGGACGATGCTGACTGTTCACTGAAGCGGTGGGGACCGACTTCCCCATTTCCCATGTTGCAGCACCAAGGTGCAATTCGATCCCTAATCCACCTATAGAATTCGTGTCCTTGGTTACATTAACTACCTAGATGCGTTGCTTTTTTATAACGTGGATGCCTTGGGCTAGGTTCATTGAAAGAGAACTGTATTATAATCAAGAACAGCGTATCTATTTCTGCAAGCCAAAGTCTGCGGCTTCGGCTGTCTACACTCTGAGGCCATCATTTAATAAGGGATGTTACCAGGGCGGCGAGGTGGCACAGCGCTCAGAGCCCCGGGCCTGAAGTCAGGAAAACATCTTCCTGAGTTCAAATCCAGCCTCAGACACTTGTGCTAGCTGGATGACCCTGGGCAAGCCTGTTTGCCTCGGTTCTTCATCTGTAAAACGAGCTGGAGAAGGAAACGGCAAACCACTGCAGCCTCTCTGCCAAGAAAACCCCAGAGTCGCCCCAACTGAACAACAACGGGAGGAGGGGGTGTGGGGGTTGGTGCCCTGCCCCGCGTCACACACACAGCAAGCATCCGAAGAGGATTTCCGCCTGCCCCACTGCAGGCCAGGGGGGTGACTGGTCCTCGGTCACTCGGCTCCTTCCCACACACTGTGACACCCGCAGCCACTCCAGCCCGCGGCTTCCACCCCGCCCGGTACCCCTGGAATGCAGAGCCCCTCCCCGACAATGAGGTCACCGTTTCTGGGACGGAAACGAAGAGACAGATATTTACATGGGGGGAGGGCGAGCGGGGGCTGCCCACACGGGGCTCTCAGGGAAGAATGGTGCTGGATCGGATAGATGTGATGGACCCTTCCCTGACGAGGCCCCAGTTCTGTTTTATGCAAAGTAAAATCGGGAACCATAACGACCCCACAAGCTAAGAATGTAAACCTCTCCCGGCATCCGCCCCCAACGCGCGTTCTTACGTCGCGTCACGTGGGCCGCCGGGAGGGCGGGGCGCATCGAGCGCATGCGCGCAGCGCCAGGCCCGGGTGCGCACGCAGCAGTCTCCTCCTCTCCCACCGCGGCTCTATCCTCCTCCTTCTCCTCCTCCTCCCTGTCACTGGTCGGCGGGTCCCCTTTCGGCTGGAGATCGGTCCAGATCGACCCCGGCCCGGCCAGGCAGCCCTCGCCATGTCGTACGGGCCCCTAGACGTGTACCGGACGGCGGGGCCTTCGGGCCCGCAGGGCCCCCAGCCCCGGGACTTTGACAGCATCTTCAATACTTGCTGCGGCCACATCCAGAGGATCAGCTACGCCAGTGAGTGGGGGCCGAGGGCTGCTAGGCCGGGGGCCCGAGGGTGGCCGGGGGCCCGAGGGGAGCGGGCCTGGGTCCCTACCTGCGCCCCGACTACAATGGGTGTGGCCGTGGAAGCGCTGAGGGCCAGCCCGGGCCCCCCGGCCCAGCTCCAGACCCTGGCCGTCTACCCGGGAGGCGCCTCCCCAACCCCCCTTCTCCCCGGCCTGCTCCGCCCTACCCCCTTCCCCGAGTCCCCCCCTCGAGAAAGTCCCGGAGGAGGCCTTCCCACTGGGCCACAGTAAGGGTTAATTTAGAGCTGACCGCATCTCATTGGTCGGTAGGTCAGATTCCTCATTTTACGGGTGGGGAAACTGAGGCCCAGAGGAGGAAAGGGGCGAGGCCAAAGTTACACCGGGAGTAAGTGTCAGAATCATCCAGGACTTGGAGCCCGAGTTTTCTCACTCCAAATCCAGGGTTCTGACCACCACAGCCTGCTTTCCTGGGCCCTTAGATGCTGTGGCTTCGAGTCTGGTCCTGGGGGCTGCCTCGTTTAACCAGTCACCTAGTTTTTCACCCTATTTGTCCTTTACATTCTGTTCGGTTCAGGTTTTGTGCAATAGTTTAGCTTCCGATTCTGTATTCTCTATGGTACTGAACCAATTGGAATTCAACTTAAATGTCAGTTAAGGTGAAGTGAAGGTTGTATGACTTAAAACACCCAGTGAATTTCATAGTCATAGAACTGGTAGTGTGTCCAGGGATACGGAGACTATGGGTTTGTTTTTTGTTTGTTTCTGAAGAGTACTGAACATGTCTTATTAATTTCCCTTGGCAGCCCAACATTCAAGGAGTACAATTTGTCTTATTAATCTACCTTGGCAGCTTAAGATTCAGAGATTTCTTCCTAATCAATCTAGCTATTAGACAGCAGCAGCTAGTATTTGGTTTCCATTGGTCTTATTAGCTGTTTCTTGAAATGAATTTCATATACAGAGAAGTTTAGTGACTGACTCCAAATGACATAGGAGTATATGTCAAGCCACAATTAGAGGTGTTATGTTTGTGACTTGTCTTACTTCCTCATTATGTAATCCATTCCCTATGTGGGAAAAAAACACAACAATTTAAAAGCATACACCTTAACGACACCAGGTCAAGTGGCATCATCTTTGTAGGTACATTACTTTTATGTGTTTTAGTGATTGGAGCTATATTCCTAGACTAGTCATTAGTAGTAATTGATCTTGAGTGATTATATTTACCAATTAATATTAACAGCATATTTATAATGCTTTAAGATTTGCAAAAAAAGAAACTTTCCTCATAACAATCTCATAAGGAAATAAAGTATTATCTCCACTTTGTATATGCTGGAACCCTGGTCTCAAACCTGAGTCTTCCGATCCAGAGATCAGTGCTATTTTTACTACCTCGTTCAGGAGTTTAAAGAACTGTGTCAAACTTTGCTTTGCATTTAATTAGTAGTTTACAAAACAAGAAGCAGTATGTGGTAGATAGAAATTCTGTGAATCGAAAAAGTTAAAGCTGATAAACTCACTAGTTGATTTTCCCAGTTGCATTTAGAGATGACTGTAATACAAGTTAACCTCAAAGCCCTGTTATAGGGTTCATATATTTCAATATACATAAAGTACAGCTCTCTCACAACTTAGTAGATAGTCCTCAGGAGTTACTGTAGCAAAAAAAATTCATATTCTTGGGCAATAAACCTCACCAAACTTGCCCAAAATAGTCCTTGGACAATAAAAATATGATCCCTGGATTTGAGAGACCTCCTTGAGCTTGTATTCCACTAGCCTAGCCTTTGAAAACTCAGGGTCACTTCCATGCCATGATGAGATACTGGAAGATGACTTTAGTGACACGATGCTATGATAAGCTACTAATAACTCTCATTTATATAGTGCTTTACAGTTTCAAAGCAACCGTGTGAGGTTTATAGTGCAAATATTATCCCTGTTTTTACTGGTGTTGAAATTGAGGTTCAGCTAGGTTAAGGGACTGGCCAACATCACAGAGCTAATAAGTGAAAGAGCTGGGGCTTGGACTTAGGTCTTCTGACATTTAAATCTTGCTCATTTTGATACTGTATATTTAATTTCTTGTTCTTTGGTTTTAATATCTGATTTTGTTTCTCAGGGGGATTAAAGTTATAGTAAAACAGAGCTGTGCCGATACAGTTATTAGACTGGTCTATTTTAAATATTACCCATAGTTAGTTCTCATTGGGGAAGATTGGCAAGCAAGTAGTAACATTGTTATCATTTCTTAATTAACAATACTAGAGGCATAAATGTTACTAATTCAGGTAAATGAGTGGAACTTATTTTTTCTCACTTAAGACAAATTTGAGGATGGGGAACTCTTTTCTCCCAGCTTTTTCTTGCCAACTACCATCCTAGGATCCTTTTACTTTTCTCTTATTCTGACTTTTAACCCTCAGCAGTTCTGCCTGAAGTGTCTGTCCTCCTTTTCAGCTCTTTGTAGAGAATCTGTGATGCCGTTCAGAGATGAAATAGAAAGAATACCTTAACTGTTTGCTCATTTGTCATCTGGCTAAGTTCACACATCCCAAACCTCTGCATGTTTCCCTGTCCCCCTACACTCACTATATTTCCCTTCACTTCATTGAAACCATGATGCTCAAAAATTTATTTCTTGTTCTTTGAGTTTGATAATAGGATAAACAGAAGACGTTGTGCCTACGTCGCCTGTTTCTAGTTTTTGTTAGAGCCAGACAGCGTCCACATTTAAGATGTCTACAGTTGTAGTTACACTGCTAACTCTTTTCTTCCTGGTAATTTTAATTGCAGTTTTTTAACTGAAAATGCAATTTTAATTTCCGTGCTGGTATATATGGGAAATTGCAGGGTCATAATTACTGCATATGTTTTTGTCTCCATAATCTGACTAATGTACTTCAATTTTTTCTTAAGATACTGAGTCATCTGGTGGTTCAGATGCTGGAGAGCTGTTGTCAGTATCTTCCTTATCAACGGACTTTATGTTTTGGATAGATCAGAGTTCATTTGGAGACTGTTAACTCCTTGAAGCCCTGATGTTGAATTATAGGAAATATATTTATTTTAGAACAGATCCTCATTTGAATCATAGGATGTTAAAACTGAAAATGTTCTTAGAGATCATCTAATCTCATCTTACAGATAATGAAACTGAGACATCAGCTGTTGTTAGACTGCCTGATGATTTTATTCTTAGTCTTTCAAAAATTTTTAGCCAGTCCTTGCTTTGGAGATGTTGGTGATAGAGGAAGTTAAGATGTCCTCGTGCCTAAAATATACATAAAGAGCTTTAAAAGGAATGCAGCAAAACTGAGGAACTTGCATGTGTATTCGTTTGGACCATCTGGTTTCTGATTATCAGGGGTTTTTAAAAATAGGAAATCCTGTCACAGCATTGTTTTGGATCATCTATCTGATTTCTGATAATGAGAGTTTTTTGTTTTTGCTTTTTTTTAAACAGGAAATCCTGACCATTAGCTTGTAATAAGTAAATCCCGAGTAAAACTTATCCAGCACGGTGCTTTCAGCTGAGTGGACAATAGTTGTAGCTTTGTAAATTTTTTGATTTACAGCAGATTATTCAATCAACAAGCTTTTATTAGGGCTTACTATACGCTCAGCATTGTGCTAAGTCTGGGGATTTAAAAAAAAATGGCAAAAACAGCCCTTTCCCTAAAAGAGCTTGCATTCTAATGGGCAAGGCAACATATACATATGTAGGTGTATATAAGATACATACACAAAGGGAAGTCACTGGCTGCTGGTGACACTGGAAAGGCCTCTCGGAGAAGAGGGCCCTTGAGATGAGCCAGGGATTCTGAGAGGCAGAAGTAAGAAGCATTCCTGGTGTTGGGATAGCAGAGGGTAGGTGGAGCGCCATGTGTAAGAAACAGCAGGTAGACCTGGACCATAGATGTGTAAAGTTGAAAAGAGAGAAAGAGGCCAGGTCAACTGAGGGTTCTAAGTAGTTGGGTTCTGATCAAGGCTTGTCCATACTTGTGAGTGTTTACTCTGGCTATTTCTCAGGCGTCTGATCATGTTAACCCCCTACGCAGTAAACTCCAGTGGATCTCTGTTGCCTCCAGAAGCAAATACAGAATGCTCTGTTTGGCATTCAAGCCCTTCCTCTTCCCTTTCCAGTCTTCTGGCACACAGTAAGCACTTAATAAATGTTTATTGAATGAATGAATATGTATGTCAAAGGAGAAAGAGTTCTTTCACCCCAACTAGCAAGTGATCCTGTGCATTCTTTTCTATCTAAAGAGCCTATCACTATCCTTAGCACACACTAAGCACTTAAAAATGTTGAATTGGGGGGCAGCTAGGTGGCAGAGTGGATAGAGCACTGGCCTTGGAGTCAGGAGGACCTGAGTTCAAATGCGGCTTCAGACACATACTTCCTAGCTGTGTGACCCTGGGCAAGTTACTTAACCCCATGGCCTAGCCCCCACCCCCCAAAAAAAATGTTGAATTGGCAAACAAAACCATCCTAACCTCTCATAGTTTCGAGAAAGGAACCTAGAAAAGCTCAAGATGCAAAGGAACTCTATAGCCATATGTTTTCACCAAGAACATGCAGAATTGCTGAAGATTGTTATCTTCTCCCTGTTCTGTAGCATCTTCCAACAATAAAGCTGTGCATCCCAGTATGCTTAATACATGTGAAGTTATTCTAAACCATGTGAGCTATTCACATGTCTTCTCTGGGCTCTGAAGAAAGCCTGCTTTCTTGCTTTCTTTCCTTTTTTGGAGGCAGTTGGGGTTTTAAGCAGCTTGGCCAGGGTCACACAGTGCTCTTGATACCAGGTCCAGTGCTCTATTCACCGCACCACCTAGCTGCCCCTAGCCTGCTTTCTTGATAGGAAAATTCAACGATATGAAGGCAGTTTTAGGGTCTCAGAGCTGAGGTTTTAGCCTGTGTAGCTCCCGCCCTTTATCATTGATGAGGAAGCTGTGGTTCAGAGAAATGAAGTGAAT